ACTCCACCAACCCCGGATGCCAACCCTTCCCGGTTCCTCAAGTCTCTCGGCCCCTTCAACACCATGGCGTACTCGTCCGGACTCGCCCTTCACGCGCGCCAGCCCACCATCTTCTGCATTCATTGGGGATTCCCGACACGACCACTAACGTGATTATCAGTCCCCTTAGTGCACTGCATGTTTTATCGTGCGAGGGGACGGTGTTCTCCTCGCGCTGGATGGCGACATTCAGCGCCCACCTACATCAGCTTGCGGCGTTTTTCCCCAACTAGGTATCCACCACCAGCGGGCCACCGTTCCAACCGGGACTATCTCAAAACTCCCGACCTATCTCCCAGGAGTGTGTGGTAGTGAGGGGCATGTTAGTGTAAGTGTGCGAGTAAAAGATGACGGTAGGACACAGAAGTGGAAGAAGCGATATTGCGCGGGGTCCGTTTGGTAGGGTGCTGCTCTGTCATTCGCCTCGGTTTGATCCGACCAACCACGGAAAAGTACCGATCAGAGCAGCCGGTCGCTAGAATTCTCCCCCAGACAGTGACTGAACTAGACCTAGCTCTCCAGCTAGTGACGAAAACCCTGCCACCGTTGAGAGTGGAACCCTACAACCTCCCTGTCAGAGGCACTGCAATGACCTCAATTGATGCCCTGAGCTACCTAAACCGACCCATCTTTTGTAGTTCTAGTAGTTCAATGCAGTACTTCCGCACAAGAAGCGGCTCCTCCCGATCCATTTAATTCGGAACCGGATTCCCAAGGATGAAATATCTTATCGGGTTCGCCGCCTCCGCCGCCCGGGCGCCGTTTGCGCCCTTTCAAAGCGCCAAAACGCAATGCACCGCGTCAAAGCTGCGCCCGCCTCGCGCGTTGCGTCATACGCTCGCTTTTATGTTCGTTAGCGGTCATTGTTTCGCACAACGACCGCTTGTCGCGCTGCCTCTGCGCCTCGACGAAGACGGATCTCTGAACAAGAGACGTAGTGACAAACAACACAGCGCACGCTCTGTGTCTGCCTAAAATATCACCTCGAAGTCGTAATGTTAAGTATCACAATTTAGATCCGGGGGGCGCGGCGTATCTGAAGGCGATGTTTCCGTGAACCCACCCTTCAAAAGATGCGATGATGACGCAGACAGCTTTTATTCAACGAGATCAAGCGCCGTGACAGCAGGAATGTACGAAGATGCACTGCCCGGCGAGGAACAATAAAAAAGCCTGAACTCGGGAGAGCAGTCATCATCGCAGGTTAAGATGTCTTTGAAATTTTAGCGGGCTGGGTATAAATTTCAAAGCTCTGTACATCAGTAAGTGACCGTACACAGAAAGGAATGCTTAGAAATCTATTTTCCCAAAAATATTTTGCATTGCGTGCCGAAATTGTTAATATTCTTATTATTACTATTATTATTATTTTTATTATTATCATCATTATTATTAAGAATAAGTTACATTAAGACCATACCGTTTACGATATTCATTGCGATGTTAAACGCATGAGCAAAATGATATTATTCGAAATGTAATACACGTACAAACTGTGCAAAAGGGCGATACACAAACAAGTTCAAGAAGTGTTGATAAATTACATTATTAAACACGACAAAATGATGTACATGGGAATGGCAAAGCGAAACGATGCAAACAGAAAGCAAGATGGAAAAACACACCCACCACCACCCACACCCACAAGCATACACTAGGTAATGTAAATAGACGTAATGTAAAATGTTATAGCAACAGCGAGGAATGTGTGTGACAAAGAGAAAAAAACCAAAATCAGGAACCAAAAGAGAGGCTGAACAGAGTGACAATCTTGTTGGAAAGAGAGAGCAGGCCAAA